ACAGTTTTTCTTTTCCGGCAGCCTATGCTTCGCAAAAATTTACATTTTTTGACGAACCACTGCTTGTCCACGTCCCTTTTATGCAACAGTGCCATCTCAGCCGACGCGTTTTTGCCTCGGTATTCATGAAAAGGCCAAAACACAACCAACAAGAATCAACGCTTTAAACCAGAATGCTGGGACCATGTCTGCTCTTAACGATCTGACTGCTGCAAGTGCAGCGCAAAGACGCATGATCGTGCCGGCAAGCCAGGTGCGTTGTAGCCTGGGCTGAGAAAAAGAGGAACATTTTGGAGACGTAGTGTGTGAAAATTCGTGCATGTATTGCTTTGTCAAACAATTTTAAAAAATTACTAGCAATCTGAGACTATTATTTGCCGGAAACTAATCTTATATTTTCATTCATTTCGAATTACACTACTCAGTGAGCGCAAAAATATTTTCCTATGTTTCGTTAGAGTTCTAAAAAAAGCATTTTAGCGGCTCTTTTAACAGATTTATGAAAGTGCGAATGATTGCACGTGGATTATACTTCGCAAATGATAGTGCATCGTACCTTTATGCAGGCGAGGGATTTGGATTTTTGCTTTGCATTCGATGCCACGTAATTCTTCGAACGCAGTGAAGCGAAATAATCAGTAACTTCTTCATATTTCTTGTCAAACGCAATTTGTTCCGGTGTTTGGTCCAAATTATCAGGAATATTTTGGCGTGCGCCAGCAGCAATCAGCATGCGCACCATTTCAACGTGCCCTTGAGATGCTGCTAGAAACAGCGGTGTCTGACCCTACAATTTGCTTATTTTTACTCTGCAAAAAATGGTTAGGCTGACATGATTTTTTCATCGCTTTATTCAAAGCACTGCGGCCAGCTTTAATATGAAGTCTCCCATGCCTTTGGCCTTCCCGCCTAAGAAATAAATAGCACTCGAACGTGACCTGATCCAACTAAACTTTTGGCTAGCAACAAATGCGCCAAAGACGATTGCTTCATAAACGAAGTGAAGGAGCAGAAAATGTAGCCAAACTTGTGT